GATCCTGGTAACGGCACCAGTTACTATAACTCCACAAGACGGTGCTGATCGAGGATAAGCATTTATTGCCAATAACGGTCAGGATATGGTTAAATTATCATTCATATAACAAAATATCTCATTTGGAACAAACACACCGGATATGTAATGGAGTGGTCCACCATCAGATGTGTATTCGTGTGTTCACAGAACCAAACAGCAACCGTTTGCTCCAACACGTCTTGTTCATTTTTGTTCGTTGAAAGAAACTGTTGATCACATTAATTTGTGAACTTCTCACAAGTGAGTAGTACCTCATAACACTATGACAGCTTTTATCCTCATTTCGATATACCATACTGTCGCCAAACCAACACACATCAACGGGATCGGGGACATAACTAATGATAGGGACAGACCTGAACTTCAAACAAACAATCATCCAGAAACTGCGGGAAACGTACTTGATAGAGCCGGTTGCGGTATTCTGAGACACTCAGTTGCACATTGTCATCAAGCGGAGGGACAACATGATGTGACATGAGAATGACCTCACCAGGGCAGTAAAACCTGAGAGAGAAGGAGACAAAACACATGTCCAGTTCGAGGAGTAAAAGAACCAACCACTTTAGTACAATGTGAAACAAAGCCGGTAGTGCAATAATGGGAACCCTTTGTAGAGCATTAGAAATGCGTGGACGATCCAATCACAGAAAAGTCTGTTTACTGTCTAACACCTGACAAGCAAACAAACTATGAGTCAACACAGTCCTAAATCGAGCTCCTGGAAACCAGAGGATTTTGGCAAGTGCTTATCCAGAAATAATAACACATCGTTAGTACTATTTTCCGTTCCATAGGATACCACATTAGTGTAGCTCACAGAGTTTCTTGATTAAAGCTTTTACTTGATCGAGATGGGCAGTGAAAACGGTACATTTCCGAGTTGAATCTTGATCGTATTTCATGAAAGATTGTTGTTTTTAGGACTGCTGGTGTTTTGGTGGTCGACAGGAAACAGAAGCAATCTGTTGTGTACTTTGGACTACAATTTTTTTCATCTCGGTTGGGATTTTTCATTCCCCATTATTTGGAACGGTGAAGTGCTTTCTATGCAAGCCTCTCTAACTCATTCTCTCTGTTTCCTTAGGTTCGGGTTTTTTCCAAGGCTCTTTGTCAACGCTCACAAACAATAGCACCTGCCCTCATCTGAATATGCTCTCATTCAACGATGTTACCACCGTTACTGGTAAACTTGTAGTAGGCCGCCACCTCCTTGATTGCGCGGTGCACAAATGAAAAAGCAAGTTAGCCTGAGGTTATTTGACGTAATTTGTAAAATAACTGCATTCTAGTTATATTATCAACGATTTTCTTCAGGACGGAATGAAGCACTAAACAGTGGCTTCATGTTAATTGCGCCAGCTTTAAATCCTTAGCGGGGACTTGTGGTGATCCAAGTCTACAAGATGACGTATACCACGGAGCGACATGTCACAGTTTTAGAACAACTGTGATGAATCAAGCTGCCCAGGTGAAGTCAGCAATGCGCATAAGTGTCACAGCTTCTGGACTACAGACCATAGGTCGCTTGTACCAACCAACCAGAAACCTTCGACCCAGACAGAAGCTGGACAACGCCAGAAATACTAGCACGTGATTGGAAAAGGCTTGGATGACCAATGAATTCGGTTGGTACATATTACTTAATCCCCTTGATTTCTTTCACCTAACGAACTGCTATTCCTGTGGTCTTTTCCTCGTGTCTCGGTTACGTGGGATACCGTCGTGCTAGCACCAGGGTGATCCAGTGTTCACGTGGCATCTGTGATTGCTAGTCCGTGATTTCTAATTCGTGATTTGTTCTTCGTGATTATTGCATACTACAATTACTATAATTACTACAGGACTCCATGAACGAAGCTTTGATTTGGAAGTAGAAAACCCTATTGCTGAACCACTCGATAAACGGTGATCAGTATCAGTGTGCGCAGTTTGTTGTTTTTTCAAGCCCAATACATGTCAGTAATGATTTTATACACACATAGAAAGAAGATAAATCAATAATCAAAAGCAATCTAAATTGCGGAAACGTTTAGTGTTTTTTCAAAACCTACCGACGAACATAAGGGTGCTTTAATGCTTCCATGGCTGTGATTCTTTTGTGTGGATTGAAATGAAGCATTCTGGTCATCAGGTCCAGGGCAAGTTTGTCAGCACTAGGCATCAGCTGATCTAATGGTCGACGTTGTCTAGCAAATAGATCGATTTTGAGAAGATTACAGCATATCCGAAAAGGGGAGGGGCAGTGACACAATTGTTTTGAACAGTGCATATACTAATCTATNATAACTTTAGGTGATCCTAATTTCTAGAATGAAAGCAACATCAAACCGGCAATGATCTTAGGCAGTTGTCTGTAATTGGTTTTGCTTCGCGGAGTTTTAGAGCGAACTGATGAGGTCTAAGATGATGAGCGGGCGGGAAAAACGTGGAGAATTGCCGTTTGTGTAAAGATGAAATCCAACGTACCATCTGCAGTGCATTCGTTAGCCACCTTGTTTCATGGTTCAGAATAGCCGAAATGTCTGAGCACACCGCTTTATACGAAACCTCCTGGATCGGACGGATGAACAGTGAATGTACCTCATCCATGAACGATTAGGAACATTTTGGGACCAATCGATAAGGAAATTTATTTGTGCTTGAATTCTGGACCTATTGTCCACTAAGTTGTTCCATGACTAGTCGGATGTAGTAAAATTGGGGCTTATTCACTGACTATTTTGCTCCATGACAGATGAAGACAGATATATAGTAGTGGTATACAACTTGGAACTCATCTGAACTCGTCATACGACGGTCATTGAAGCGATTCTATTGTGACAACTATTTGGTTTGTTATCAAAGCCATATTTTCCGGTGTATTCGTTGTGGCCATTATAAAGAAAATCATACACGAAAATGATTTTTATTTTACCAATGGCCGTTGTAGATAAATAGCAGTTTATGGTCCCTCTAACTCCAGATTTACCTGCATCCAACACATCCGGTCACATTTTCCAGCAATATTTACGCTTTATTTATGATATTATTTTGTTTTTGATTCATAACTACTTATGAGTAGTGTTAAGGTAAAAACAAATATTTCGGGGGCAAACCTTTTCCGATAAAAGCGACATGAAAATGCGTCTGTTTTACTATATCTCGCAATCACGCCGCAGGTACTTGTAAGTATTTGTGAGGGATAATTTATATTGATTTGAAATGATCATCCCTCAGACTTCGCCTTCAAGTACAATCTTCAGTTTTTCCAGTCAACCATGCTATCGGAATTACTAGACTCGAGTGTGGCTCTAAGTAGAGTTCATCAGTAGTGCCTATCTACAGGGCCGCTCAGGTGTTGAACTACGGACCTATTGCATGAAAGGTAGATTTGATACCACTGTGCCAACCCGTTCATTCCAGTACTGAGCTGAATCGCAAATTCCTGTTTGTCTAGGTGTCGTCTTCAGTGATAAACAGTTATTTCATTTTGGTCCGGTAGCAACTTGAACTGTTAATCCCGATGGACTTTGATGTCAGCTGGTTGCCCTATTGGTGACATACACGCCTTCCTTGTGAGGGTTCTATGGTTAAAATCCCGAGTGTACCGTTGTATCATCATCAGGTGGAATTTTCAAAGCGATTTGTGTTTTGGAAACGATGTCTGGTTGAAATCTATTGCCACTTTATCTTGCTACTTCTATAGTTTGACATACACTGGTGAAACCGTTTCTGTGGAGCTGTGCAGATTTTTTAAATTGCGACAGCCCCCTTCCGCTTTGAAATTTGTTTACTGCATTTGTGTGTTATAAAAATCCTCTGGATTTCACCGAAATGTTTTTTACGTGTTAACGGTGACCTCGGAGATCAAAAGATTGGCCAAAAACGGACGTTGTATACTGTGACAAACGAGGCAGAACTAAAGAATTGTTGTTCTGTGTTTTTGCGAACACGACTTCCGTTAGATGTATTATGATTGGTTCTACGAATGGCCATAATGCAAATACCTTGCCATGACCCGTATCATCAAAACGCACTTTTCGCATACACCTTTTCGATGTCTGGACTGACGTACTTGACGTTTGTTGAAGACTGTGGATAGATGTTCTTACAATGACCTCCACCACCGTTTTTACAACCATCCGAGGAGAACAGCATATCTATCTGGCCCATTTGGCACACAATTTTTTGTTCCCGGATAGAGAAACGCAATTAGTTAGATAGTGGTTCGATCGAATTTTTCTTGCGCACAGTCTAAGATCACCATAAGTTCACCCCCCAATCCATCGAGTAGGCACAGGGTTTTGCTGACGTATTCAGACATACTCTCCGTGCGAAGAGAGTTCCTCGGATGAGCCTTTCGAGACCTCCTACCAACACACTAAATACCATGTAACCCAGATGCTGAGTAACGAACGCGTTTACAGATGTCGTTCGATGGTTAAATCTGACCGCTGTTTGACAGACTGACTCCCATAAGGATACCTGTTATCGATAGAGCAGATAACAATGGAAGTGCTTATCGCTTCGAAGGAAACAGTCATCTCCGCGATCTAACGACCTTATTGAGCATTGTAGAATGCTGTATTAAAGAAACTTGTCTCGATAGAAAAGTGACTAAAATAGCCAAAATTTTATTTATAACTGAGAAATATTTGAAAACCCTTTGGAGACCGAAGATAATGTAAGGATCTTTTACACACCGTTTTGGTGTGTCACCGAAAACTAGTCAAAATAAGAATGTAACTAAAGCTCCATATCAACAGTATTAGTACTTTGGAATACATTAGTCCTTACGCGTCTCTCCGGATGATGAGTGGTTATCGGAGAAAACTTCTGTGACGTCAGGTGAAGTACTATTCAGTGAGATTTGTTTTCAGACGTTGGAACAGCCTGTGCTGTCCTGTGCCGAACGATCCTGTATTTGGCCATCTGAAGGCTCCTACCACCAATACCGGGGAAAGTTTTGTCTTGGGTGACCTGGGAGCATTTCACCCTCAAGCAAACGATAGATAAATTTGTTGATTATAAACGTATTGCATCATGATTGTTCAGTAATCTGCAATGAGACAGGTGAGAAAAATATATGAATATACCGCAAGGTACGCAAATACAAAAGAACTGGTCAGTGGGCGATTTTGGCTCATACGACTGGTGTAGAAGAACCGGAACGTACTTAATAGAGGCCTTCTCCAAAATGGATGTACTGTACGGACTCTTCACACTGGCTAGATCTAAAATTGAACACGATCAAACAATGCAATCATGGAATTGGAACCAAGAATATATATATATAACTGGCTTGCAAGCAAGCGTGACGCCAACACCGCAACAATAAAAACAGTACCAGAAGATGAGGAACTGGGATACAGAACAGGGTGAAATGGGGTTAGACTATTACAATTCAAATGTTTAGATGACAATGAATAAAAAATCTCCATATCTGTTCCACCATACACTTATTGCGTATCCATTATAATCTAAAAAAATGACCCATTATTATTCAGTGTTAACAAACGAAAAATTAAAAAATCTGGCTGAATAGTGCGGTGATTAGAACTATGAACAGTACGAGCGTTTCACCCCTAGCCAAGTCAAACCACGTCCTTGATGTGGCCGCTGCGTTTCGACCCAACTACTTGGTATGCAGCCGTTGATCTGAGGGGATTAGAAGTCGCATTCTAACCACAGCGGAAGCGATTGAAATCTAACTACACGATCACATCCCTATGATCTCTTAAACTATCCATAAGAAAACTCGGTGTTCCATGGACCACACCGTACAACCATCCCCAGTCGCCCTTGATGAGCCTAATCAATGCGTATCTGTGATGAACAAAGTGTGAGCCACATCCAGTCGTGGATCTGTAATGTTGATTATTTTTTTCCCGTTCTATCATGCAAAGGCCAATGCACTGGCTGTTATGAAACCCTACTGGGGTTATGGGAGTAGCTAAGCGGTTATAGGACCACATAAAATTGAATGCGATTTCGGTGTCAAGAAAAACCACGTCGCTGAAACAGTGGACGATGAATGAGACCGAACCAGTCGAGATTTAGTCAAGGCATTGTGCTGATGTTAAGATTAAGATAACGATATGATGAAAAAGTCGATAGAGTTCACAAACAATAAAGTTCGTGGCTCACTTTCTCAGTGTCAAACGATTTGAAACCCCTAAAGTTTTTTAAGTTAAGCAATAATTTGACGAGTGCACTATCAGTTGAGCCATGAGACCACAAGGATAGCTCTGATCTGTCCACAATTGTTTACCTACGTAACTTACAGAATCCAACAGCTAGAACGTCATCTATTTGCACTGGCGAGTACACTCTGGAATCCATCAGAATCCATCAAATGATAGAAAGCTTCGCCACGTGCATTATTAGGCTGCGTCGTTTTGCATGATCACGTCCAATGGGATTTTCTTTAAATAGATAGGTTGATCAGAATGGAAGTTATTATACTAAATGGATTATTGATCTTAAAGATTCGGTCACCGCTGCGCTGGATCAGAAAACTCCCTAATTCCGTTGTGTAACACAGTTTTGTACCCCTCAAGTGACCTCATTCACTGTAGATTCCAATGAAAGAAGAGTCGTTTTGAAACAACGGGCAACCAGAGCTACCAATGACCATAACATTAGTTGATGTGGCATATCATTCCTGGCTCCATGACACAGGTTTTCGTTTCTCATACATCACCCTGTATTTTTTCCTTACTAAGGAACCAATTCTTTCTGTTGTTCTTCGTCCATTCATGTGTACAGAATAGCAATACGGTATCCGGTGGAAACAAAGTTCACTAACTATATCTACACGTTTTAAGCTCCTAGAAATGCGTGCGTTGTTGTTTACTCAAGAAAACCAAAAATTAGTGCCTGACACCGGGTGAATTCAGATGAACCAATCCAGAAAAATCAACATTCTCTAAACACACTGACCATCGCGCCTGAAGCTCAGCGTACAGGGTTTTTGACTTCCAACTCGATGGTGCACGATTTGAGTCCTGACAGGGATGCGAACAGTATGTACTGGTGAAAAGTTTCAATTGGGGCCGGAACAACTATCAAGTAGCAATTTTCGGTCATCACAACAAATTCTGTCGTCAAAAATGTTTGTTGAATTTCTTGGAACTGCGTGTAGTGCAAGAGTAACGGTTTGGTTCCCAAACCGAACAGCTACAGTCCAAGCCCCCCCCCCTCTCCAAGGGGGGAGACAATTTGATACGCCCACAAGGATGAAACAGCTCTCTTCAGTGCTGTTTGCTATCCTACACATAAGAGTTTTTTGACAGAGAGAAATCATGTTTGTTTATATTATGATTTCCATATTTCAAATGTGGATAATCAATTTTTGACTTTCAATTCAATCCATTCACGGATCAATTTCTCATTGTCATTATCTATTCGTCGTTGATTATATTTATTCTTTCATTTTGCAACAGTACACCAACTGGCAGATATCTGATGATGCCATCACGGTAGACAGTTTTTCTCAGCTATTCGTGACCTGTGGATGACCTTGACAGGATTAATCGTTTAAAATTCAGGTCATTAGACTTCCCACTGTGAACGGGTTCTCCATTATGGCAAAGGGAGAAGCGTAGATATATAACCGAAACTATATATAAAACCAAACTCATTGTTCTCTACACGATAATGATTTGAACAGATTAACAGATGGATGATTATGCACGGGATCTGTGGTTCGATATTGATCCGCAATTTTATTCTTCTCGAGAATTCATGAAAATGATCCAAGTGTTTTGGACGATAATTGATAATTACTCATTTCAGTTTATCGTTATCGTGTCGAAAAGATACAATAGACGATAATAGTGGATAGAGAAAATCAATAACTTTGTGAGATGTGATATGATCGTGATTTAATATCATATTTACAGTGGTTTTGAACAAGCCAATTTAAATATCTGGTCTGTTAACTCAGCGCCCAATCAAATCATTCGCAGTTGTAAACTAATCTGGGAGAAGTGTTTACAGAAGAGAATGAAAGATCACTGGCATGTTCGAGGTTCTCGCATGGATATCGCCCATACCTCTACGGAACGTACGCTCTACCAGCTAAAATATGAAGCCAAAACTCACACTCTGATCATTTCAAATTGATTACCCATGCAAATTACAGAGTCATTTGTCAGTTGGATTTCCCCTGAGGTTCGAATCCCTTTCACAGTCGAATTAAATAAAAGTATTCCCGAAATATGTCAAACAGTAGGGACTTGAACCATCATCAAACCATTTGTTATGTTAAATCATACGTGTTTTCAAAACAAGGTGAGTTCAGAACGACTAAACTTCCGCCATGCAAATAAGAGAAACATGTAGGACTATCAGACACATTGGCTTTTGGCTAGAGAAGAAGATTGACAAGCAGATCCATACAGATTGACTGACTAACTAATTTACTGACTGATTGACTCACTTACGGGTCCATTGACTGACCAACGGACGATGAATCAGTTTCCCTTTAATTTTTTTCATTTCTCCTTTGTGAAGTTTGATGCATGTTTTTGGGCTTCGGAACCTATAGTCTGTGTTGTCGTTTACTTTACCTTGAATTAGCAATAATTTAGTCGCTTATTCGCATCTCGAACGTACTGCTGAAAAGCAAACTTGCGCTATTTGTTCAGCTAAAAGCACACTAGCGATGGCAAATGCATTCAACCGAGGTTTCTGGATAAATGCATATCAGATGATGTGCAATCCCATCTTCGTTTTATATTCAAGTGCTTACTCTATATATAAATGAATGTATTTACCGAAGGAAAAGCTTAGTGAAAACGGCCATGTTCAATACTGGTGTTCCTATGTCAACATTATCATAGACATCCTTGGATTCCAATCAATCAGTTCCAGTTATCACGTTAATGAATTGCAGCGTTTGGGAAATAAAATTATTTTCACTTTGCACAACGAAACTTCTTGTTTATGAATCACCACCCAAACGAACAACAGCTTATTCACAAATTGAGTAAACCGAAAATGAATACCGGAAACAAACCTTCACGACTAGGTCTGGGCAAACCGGCCATGATTCGTTCAATCTGATCCAGCGTGGAAGTCCCCGGAAACAGTGGACTGCCACAGAGCANNNGTACGGATGGTTTACAGTGAATTGATCCGCCATTTTGACATTTCTCACGACCGATCAAAGAACGCGCCAAACCGAAATCGCACAGTTTGACAAAGCAATCGCAGTCCAGTAAAACATTTGATGGCTAAATTGAAAATTTAGGATAGACACGGGCATATTATTCAAATAATTATTATTCTTTAAACTAAATGACGTATTGACTCCGGTTTGAGAAAAATAAACACAGAATATGTTTTGTTTAAAATAATAATGTGCGTTTCCCGTAATGAACAGCTCTAACTGAATCGCTGATTACCATAAACATATCATTAGATAATATCTCAGGCTTGAATCGTGACCATTTACTGTGGGGTCAAAGCTTGCCGTTCTTACCTTGTTACACCCAGTTACACCGTCGCCTAGATTCAAAGCACGCCACATCGGAGTTTCTGTGTTCAACATACAAGCATATCACACGAAATTTGCCTTAATTCAGTGCAGGTATCATCCGTGTAAATTCTTAATATATAGACAGCAAAAAATCATAATCAAAATCATACTGAGCGGCCGTAATCATTTTGTTATTTGACCTTTACGGTGGTGAATATAATGAATGAAATGAGAAACTGCGGCGATAAGAACCAACACTCTCTTGAAATATGTCGTATTCCTCGGCCTTCCCCTTCCCGAAAGAAAACCATCCACAAAGCGGTTGTATTAGAGCACCATCAAAGACTGCCTGTTGAATGATCCGTTTCGAAAGAGGTAAGGTTTTACCCAAATGGACAGTTTTAAATGCAGAGCTGTTTGTTTTCCCGCCTGTGATAGGATATACTCCATATACGTACTGTTGACCTTAAGGAAAATGTTTATATGATACAATTCCTGACTGAATGTATGTATCTTAGTCATCGTCAGCACCAATGCTTTTCGATCGACGAAGTGAAAAAAAAACAGAAATTTCCGGTTCCTCATTGTTTTCTCATGCATTTAGTGATTGACGGGTTCTCGTGAGTGAATAGATCAGATAAGGTAATCGTTGTTTGTGTGCTGTTTACGAGACGATGACCGGAGTCCTCGAGGGCGAAGTAAGTTGTTGCATCCATACCTATTCCGCCCAAGCTTCAGGAGAAATGAGTACACATTAGAATGACTAAATACTAACAGAGGAAATAAATAACAATTGTTTTCCCATCAGTCTTAGCGTAGCAGAGTTGGAGGAAAACAGGTATTTAGGCCGGTCAACTACATAAATCAACATCATTGTAGTAGGTGGATTCAAATTTAAACATTGCGTGTGTTATAATTTAACAAGGCAGTGCCCGGTCGAGGAAACCTATTTGTTACAAATAACTATCAGGGTATCAGTAAATTGCCATTCACACAACAAAATATCTCATTTGAAACGAGTCCGCGAAATTCGTGCACGCACAGAAGACAGTTTTTGGAACGGTTCATTATTAGATGCCTATTCTTGTGTTCACCATGAAGAACGGTAGAAATTCGCTCCAACAGGTCCTGCTCATTTTTGGCCGTTGAACGAAACCACCAATCGCATCTTTTTGCGACCTACTCAAAGGTGAATAGTATCTCACAACACTTGTGCTTAGATCGTTTTGCTTATGGGCGTTTTATTTCACGAGAGTGTGAGATTATGTGTTCAAAACGAACTCTGTAGGTGGTATCCTTTGATCTAGTCTAGAGACAATCACAATGCACCTTTCTTGCTGCAGTTCACAGAACTCCCTCCAGCCCCATTGGATCTAATCCTTATTTACGCTAGCTGAAACTTAGAGTAGCAACCGACAGTAAACTCAACGGTAGCACACAGATTTGCCTTCCACCGAGCGCGAGAGGAAGGGAAGGGGATGAGAGGGAGAGGGAGCAAGCTTTTGACAGGGTGTGAACAACATGAAATCAATCGAAGGCGTTTTTCATTTGTTGCATCTCCACTAGTATCCCGGGTAAACTGTATTAAATACCTGGGCGTTTTTATTGATACTAATCTTCACTGGACCTCTCACATTCAACACATCGTTAGTAAGCTTCGACGACTCTTTTCATTTCCGTAAACTTCGTCAGTTTCGTGTTCCACGATCAATTATTTCCAACTTTGTGTATCAGTGTTTCCTATTTTTTTCTGTTTTACTTTATTGTTCACCTGTTATTTTTCCTTACCTCCTTAACAAAGATTTTAATTTCCTTCGACGCGGATTGACCATCATTAGCCGTGTCTCTTCAATCCCACTGAAGGAGTTGATAACTAACCTATGCGAACGGCATTTGAATGCATGTGAAAAGTTTGCGCATAAGATTCTCATCGACTCCACACATCCGCTATACGCTGACCTAACTTCCTGTTGTTCCCATCCCCCAACTAGATCACAATACCGTTGTGTTCCCTCTAGGATAAACATTTATCATAACTCCACAGTACCCTCATTAGCACGTGTTCTTGCTAACAAAGAACAGATTTTTACAGAATTCGTTAACAGTTTTGGGATTGAAATCGCCTTTTTCATTGTTATTTTCATTTTCTCCCTTGCTCCAAACTGTATATTTTTCAACTGAAATGTGGGCTTCATGCTTGCAGAATTTATTACAATACAATACAATACAACACAATACAATACCTCAGGTGAACCCAAAAGCTGACAATGTAAACGAAAGGTACACCACAGTGACTCGTATGCAGGATCAACCCATCCGCCAGGAAAGAAATACATTCCAAGCGTGCTACGGTCACCCGAACTTCCAAATTTCTTGTTTTTACGTCTTTCATCGCCCGTGGACGTTTCGTTTCACATCAGATGGAGACAAAATTAAAAAACAGATCATTTTTTAAGCGCTTACTTTTTGATCACGATGAATCACATCAGCTGAGTGCAAATACGCCGTGGCCTTCAGCAGCTGATACATTATATACTGTTTATGCACATCACGTAATATGTTGCCCTTTTTGATGACATTATGCAGGTCGGTTTCTAGACAGAATGAACGAAGATAGAGAGAGAGTTCACCATGACCAAGAAGCATGACGGACAGAAAGGAGCATAATCAGTTTGTGGCACTCACCCATATATTCGAACACCAAATAAATATCCTTGTCGGTATTCGCACGAATCACATTGTACAGACTGATAATGTTCGGATGCTCGCCAAAATCTTGCAGAAATGAAATTTCACGAAACGTTCGCTATAAAAGGTTTGATTTTCGCGCACGGATGTCTCACCTGTGCATCGGTTTGATTTCGAAACGCGTCAAAAATTTTCTTCAAGGCCACAGTCTCTTTTGTCTTCTTGTTCACCGCTTTCCACACTATCCCGTAAGCCTGAGTGAGATGAAATGGCAAAAAGGATTTGCGTTTCAGTAGTATTCAATTTTTATTTGGTGAGAATTCAGTATTGTGGCACATAGTTGTTTATAAATTGCCAGAGTGCCGAACAGATAAGATTTAAAGAAGATTTGTCTGAAGACTGAATTGATCCCAAGTAAAGCCCTCTTAAATTATCGTGGTAGTAGTATCTTGTTGAATAGAATATCTGTACGATTGCATCTTCTGTTAGTATTCTGATTATGACGGTGTGTTGTTTAACAATTGGAATTCAGTTCGAATGCAGAAAGGAACCTCATTGTATTTAAAGCAATGGAAGCACGATTTGCGTAACTCGGGTACTGGGCACTGTAGTGCAACTTTCCATCTAAACACACATGCATATATATATATAATCATCGGCTTGAGAATAAGCAATGCAAGCTAATGCAAAAACAACAATAATAATAATATTAGGAAGGGGTAGAAAAAACGGAGAAAACATAGATTAGGGAGAACGACTGAATGAACTAATGAATGATAAATTTGATAGTTTCACTGTACACTTTTTGAAGAGTTTAGTCTGTTAAGAGGAAGGGGGTTTCGACAATAGAAACCGCACAGCGATCGCGCCACTGACATATGCTCTGAGCCATATCTACCAGCATCCCTAACCATTGGCAATCCCCAATCCCTTGGGTCCCAACCTGGAAAGCGAGCTGCACCAAACGAAGCCAATGCTGAGGCTAACTTCTTCATACCTCTACGCCAGGTCAAAGTCTGTTCGCCAGTGCGCTTCTTCCAACTTTGCCCGGCATATGCAAAGAGAGCACAGCGAGGTAGTCGATGAGCAGGCATATGTAGAACCTGGCCGAGCCATAGGAA